CACACCAGGGCAGCGAGCCCTGGACGGCCTCTGAGCCTTGGGGCTCGGGTGGTTCAGGTCCTAGCTGTGCTTCCCACACCCCTCACTCTTGGTCCTTGCTTCCCAGGTGCCTGCCAAACCGAGTACCCAGCTTGCGGATGCTCCGAAGCTTCTTTACTGATGGGGTGAGTGGCGTGTGTGGGCAGGCGAGGGCGTTGGAGTGCTGGGCAGGGCCTTGGCCTAGGGTCCCGGCCTGTGGCCTCTGCCATCTGAGATGGGCTCCTCTGGTCCCTGCCCTTTTCTTTCTCCCTGCACCCACCCACCCTCATGTCCACCACGTGACCCTCCCTCCTCTGTGGGCTCTGTCATCACTTAAAGGCACCGCACACCCTCCCAGCCACGGCCTTTGCACTGGTCTTTCCCCGTCTAGAATGTCCTCCCCTCAGCCCCACCTCAGCCGCATCACGCACTCTTTTACTTTCTTCAGGTTTCTTTAGGCCGCTCCTGAGCGTTCAGCCTCCACCCCTGACATTTTATGTCTCCCTTCGCAACTTTGTTTTTCTCCTTCGCGCTTGTCATGTCCTGTAATTTATACACCCATCTCCTCTCCCGCCTGTCTCCCGGCTGGAACGTAGGTTCCATGACGGCCGGGGTTTATGTGGTCTGTTGGCTGCTTGATCTCCATGGGTACCTGGAACAGTGCCCGCACTAGGGAGGCACTCGCTCCGTAGTTGAGCGGTGTCTTCAGGGGACTCCGAAAAGTAGGGGGGCAGGGCGGGGACACAAGGTTGAGAATGATGGAGAAGCTAGAGTTCCCAGGCTCAGAACCTGGGGAAACAGGGCCGCTTCTGAAATGGCTTAACCCCTTCATTCTGGACGGACTGGAAAAGCCGTCTTGATTCCAAACGCGCGCCGTCTTCGGCTCATTCGGCACCTGGATGGTGTTTTCACCGGCTTATTCCTTATAACAGCCTCTGTTTGCTCGCCTCTCCCTCTGGCGCATCGTCTCCGTGGCTGGAGTCCTGTTGACACCATCATTTCCTCTGCTTAACTCTTTGTGGACATGGCTACCTGCTCCACTAACTCTGTGCTCATTGATGCTCTGACTTCCTCTGTTTATTTAACTCTGTGTGGACACAATTACTTCCTCTGTATCCGTAATTTCTTCATGTCTATGAAATCACGGGCGGCTGCAGGTTGGCTTTTCTGGCGTGGTGAGGCACGTGGTCTGCTGGTCAGAGCCTTTCCTCCTTTCTGGCTTCCCTGGCACATGTGTCTCATGACCTCAACCCAGAGGTTCAGAGAGGGCAAGCGAGGCCGCTAGGCCACACGGAGCAGCAGGGCATAGCACAGGCATGCACGCGGCCCTGGTGGCTGAGCGTGGTCCCTGGGGCTCCCGAGAGGCCGGCACTGTGGGAGCCACCCCACCTTCCCCTCTCTTGTCTCGCTGCAGTCCTTGGATAGCTGGGGCACTTCCGAAGAGGCTGACGCTCCTTCTAAGCGACACTCAACCTCTGACCTCTCGGACACAACCCTCAGCGATATCAGGAGAGAAGGCTGGTTGTATTATAAGCAGGTCCTCACCAACAAGGGGAAGGTAAGATGGCTGGAGGAATGAGGTGAAGATGGATGGAAGCTGGATCCGGCAGAACTCTCCGCTCCTCACCCCACAGCCTCTGGAGCCAGAGAGAACCGGCTGAGGCGGTAGCAGGAGGGGTAGAGGTTAGATGCCGGGAAAAACTTCTGGGGACCTAATGAACTCACGGAAAAGAGGTGTGTTCTGTGGGATGGATCCGATGACGTTGTGCTTGGGATTCTGACAAGACCGGTCACAGCGATCCTTGGTGGGCAGAGCACCCCAAATGGCCGTTCATGTTCACGGAAGACGAGGGAGCCAGGCCAGGGCGATTCTCTTAGAGGGGCTGAGGCCCCCAAAGAAAGCAGAGGTCAGCCTTTCCAAGGCCAGCAGACGTTTCAGTCTTTATCCTACGGGCAACTGACAGCCCCGGGGCCTCTTTCGTGGCTGCCTGGGGAGTGAATTAGAGAGGGCCACCGTGGAGGCCAAAGATCAGTTCAGAGCTGCCATAGAGATCCAGGTGAGAGATGAAGGGGCTTGGGCCTGGGGGTGGCGGGTGCGGGGGGAGATAACCAGGGTCCGAAGAGCAGAAGGCGGGACCCCTGGCCTGTGGAGATTGAACCTCTGTTCCAGGCCAGGGCCATGGCTGAGCGGCTGGGAGGAGAGGAAGCCCCACTGCTGTCCCCTCCCCCTCCCACCCCAGCAGCCCAGGCAAGGCTGAGCGGAGTGGTGACCATAACCTGGGCTTGTCTCTCGACTGCAACACAAATTGCTGGGAAGCTTAGGTGACTCACCTGCCCATGACTCAATTCCCTCGTCTGTACTCGGAGCTAATATATTCCTCACTTCATCCGCCTGTTGCTGAGGATCAAAGGAGATGGATTTACCCAGTGCCTGGCATGGGGGGTGGGGTGGGGGGCTGCAGTTCTACTTATTCTATTACTTGAATTTTCCACCCTGCCTCCTAGGGGCCTTGTACCTGGAAAGAAGATAAGCTTTGGGTCAGACAGACTTAACTTCCTGCCCGGCCACATATCAAGCATAAGGCTTTGGGCAGAAGGCCTCTTGTCTGCTGAGCCCCACTTTTCTGACCTGTAAGATGGAGGCACCCGTGTTCTACTCCAAGGGCGATGTGTCATCAGGCAGGGTTGGCTTATCTGTGTCCCCATCCAGTCCGTGGCTAATGATAAGGGTGTGGCCCGCCCTGATTCTCGGTTGAGGTTCTTGGGATTTCGTAGTGAGGGATCCAGGCCAGTCCTGCCCTGCTGGGGTTCATGACGAGCAGAAATAGCTCAGTTGCACAACAGTTAGGAGTGCCTGATGGTTATGATGGGGGTATCCAGGGCAGTGGCATGCAGTAGGTGACCCGAGCCTCTGAGCGGTGGGTGAGACCTGAAGGATGTGTGAGAATCCACCCAGCTGGGAGCGGGGAGAGTGGTCTGACAGGGGAGATGCCCTCCTGGATGGTCTGGAGAAAGGCGGGCGGCTGGGAGCCAGGGCAAGAGGTGGAAGCCAAGGTGGGGGAGCTGGGTGCCTGCTCGGGGGGGCCTTGTCCCTCAGGGCAAGCCCTGGCAGGGATTTAGGTGGAGGGTGTATGAGGCCGGGAGGCAAGTGTTGATCCTATGACAGGAAGAGGCCAGGCCATTGCTGTTGTCCAGGTGAGCGAGGATGGGGGCCCTGACCATGGGGCTGAGGGGCGGGGACAATTTAGAGAGATTCAAGGGGAAGAAAGGCCCGGGCTTGCTGATGGCTGGGAGGTGAGGAGGAAGGGGGAGGTAGCGCAGGCTCCCGGGGTCTCAGCCTGGGCTGTGGGGTGGTGGGTAGTGGGACTTTGCCCTGAGCCATGGGCACTGGAGGCACAGGTTTGGGGAAAAGAAGCCAAGAGGTTGCTTCGGGTTCTTGGGAGTCCCAGGGTGGAGGTGTTCTGGGGACAGAGGCTCGGGGGGTGTGGCACTCAGGATGGAGGCCCCCCTCGAAGGGCACTGGTCCATCAGGGGGTGCTCGGCACCTGCAGCCAGGTTTGGGGGCACAGAAGGGAGAGGGCAGGAGACGGGCCGCACCTTGAAAGGAAGTGGGGGTGGGGGCCACGGAGGAGAGTCAGCAGTGGCTGTAGACCAGGACTGGCGACTAGCAGGGGCAGCAGGGGCCAGCTGTGTGGCTGAGGAAGGGCAGCCAGGTGTAGACAGCCCCTTCTAGCCCAACCTTGGAGGACGGCTACTCCTGCCTGCCAGGCAGCCTGCCCCCCGGCTCTGGGTGGCCCCTAAGCCCACCACAGTGTCTCCCGGGCAGGGAGAGGAGCTGGCCCCTTTCTGCTCACTGACCAGCTCTGGATAGCAGGGGCTTCCACTCCCATCTTGACCAGAACCCAGTCTCCCTCGTCACCTAGGTACCATGGCCTGGGAGTTAGGAGTGGGGCCCTCAAGGCAGTTTCAGGCCCTTGGTCCATTCAGGGTCCTGATTGCCAGCCAGATGTTGGCTTCTCCCACAACCACAGCCTCTCCTGGGTGCCCCCACCCCCACCCCGCCCTCAACACCAGTCTGTTTCAGAGACATTGACTATCAGGCAGAGGGGAGCAGGTGTGATCTCTCCCTGTAGCCACAGACGCAGCACTTGAGCTGGATGCGGCCTTGGAGACCAGCTAGTTCACCTCTCGTTGTAGCAACAGGGAACGCTGATGCCAGGGGAGAGGGCTTGGCTTGTCCAAGGTCACTGGCTGGTCCAGTCTCAAAAGGGCAGCCTTATCACCACCTTACTTCAGGAGGGCCCTGCTGGGTCCTGCCCCGGGCCCCACGTCGGTGGTGGGCAGGGCTGCTCTGAGGCAGCCACCAGCCAGGGGGGAGCTCGCAGGCTGAGATGGAAGCCCTGCCCTCAGGGTGCTCCGAGGAGGATCCATTCATTTACTCAGTAAATACTGATGAGTGCTCACCTTGGGTCTGCTGAGGCTCTGGGATGTGGGATGTGGTCTGAGAGGACAGACAAGCTTTCCGCTCTCAGAATCTTACCACGAATCAGAGAATCCAGATGGGAAATCAGACAGGCTGGTGTGATTGCCTTTACGTCGGGAGTGGTGGGGCTGCCTAAGGAAAAAACTGATCAGAGAAGGTCTCCCCGAGGAGGGGATGTGGGGGACCTTCGAGCTCAGACGTGAAGGGCGAGAAGGGGGCGGCCACGTGAAGCGAGAGAAGGGGCTCCCGGCAGAAGGAACAGCAAGTGCAGCCTGGCTGCTGGAGTGGCTCAGTGGTTTTACCCTACCTGTGAGCCAGGAGGTCACGGTTTGATTCCCAGTCAGGCCACATGCCCTGGTTGTGGACTCGATTCCCAGGAGGGGGCCTGCAGGAGGCAGCTGGTCAATGATTCTTTCTCATCATTGATGTTTCTATCTCTCTCCCTCTCCCTCTTTTTTTTTTTAAAGAAGAAGGGACAGTAAGTGCAAGGCTCGAGAAGGGTGGGCATGGCTTGTTCCCTGAAGGAGGCCTGTGGCTTGACACAGTGAGGAAGGAGGAGGGAGGGAGAAGATGGGTTTAGACGGGGAGGAACCAGATCACAAAGTCCTTAGGTTTGATTCCAAGACCGTGGGAACCCACGAGAGGGGAGACACATGACCTCGGTTACATTTTAAAACTGTGGCTGCAGCTGCTGGGCGGGGAACGGATTGTGGTTAGTGAGACTGCAGCCTGGGCAGGTTTGTGCCATTGTCCAGGCAAAGGGTGTTGATGGCGCGGACAAGGTGTTAGCAAGAATGATGGAGACAGGTGATGTTAGGGAAGCAGAAGTGACTTTCTGATGGGTTGAACGTCAAAGGTAGGAAAAGGGAGGAGTCAAGGGCACCTTTCAGGTTTCTGGGCAGCTGGGTCGATTTACTGAGCTGGAAAAGATGAGGGCGGCGGGGTGGAGAGCAGGTTTGATGGTGAAAATCAATTGCCCCATATGAGCATGCAAGTGGAGACGCTGCACAGGGGACGGGGGCACAGGACGGACCGAGGGGACGCTGGGCATCACCATCGGCAGACAAATGACGTCATTGGGGAGCACGCAGGGTCCCCACCGCAGCTCATCGACCTTGGGCCGGATGGTCCCGTGTTGTGAGGGCTCTCCTGAGCGTCAGGCTGGAGCAGCACCCTGGGCCTCTATCCACCCGGTGCCGTAGCACTTCAGGGGTGGCGACCACACATGTCTCCAGACAGATGTCCCTGGGGGTGAGCACCCTGTTGAGAACCACTGGTGTAGAGGAGGCGGCCAGTGGAGGAGCCAGACGGAGCCAGTGGAATTGGGAGGAAAACCAGGGACTGTGGGGGTCCCAGATGCCAAGAGAGGGTTTGAAGGGGGGAGGCATGGCCAAGTGCTGCAGAGGCCAAGGGAAGGGCCGGGAAGGGCCGGGAGCTGCTACATGGGAGACCTGCGTGGCCTTGAAAGTGGCTTTCCTGGGAAGGGAGATTGGGTGGAGTTTTGAGTGAGAGGCAGAGAAGCGGGGAGAGCGAGGAGACACTCCTGACGGGTTTGCTGTGAAGGGAGCACATGTGGACTAGGACAGGCTCTATGAGGGTTTTATGTCGGCGGCTCATGCTGGGGGCCCAGTTGCCCTCCCAGCGCCCCTACTGGTTCCTCCAGTCATGGCCAACGCCAGGTGAATGTTGACGCTAGTCTCAAAGGATGCTGGGCTTGAAGGTTACAGACCCTCTGGGGAGACGGAGGACGCTGGGTAGGGGTGTCCAGGCAGGTGAGGCGCTGAGAGAGCTGAGGACTGTGAGCATGAGGCTGCCCCAGGTTCCCGCGCAGTGAAGCAGGGGGCTCCTGGCAGGCCACGGGGTGTCTGCAGCTCCGAGCCCCGCCCCC